ATGTCATTGTCAAACCACCATCATCGAAAATGATTTTAGGAGAACCAATAATTATTTCCAACAGCATCAACAGGGCCTCTGTGAAAACTTGATGGTTCAATACCCATTCATTGGTTCAGTTCAGCATTGATTTACCACTAATTTCCTCACTTCCTCAGGTAATAATGATAACCGGTTTGTATCTCTACCCAATTTTCATTAACGTTCAGATTTCCTAACGTCAGGCTTTCCTATTATTCGATTTTGGTTTGGATTTCAAATGGATTTCATTAAAGTTGTTTCTTTTTTACATAATCGATCTCAGCCTTGATTCTTAATAGATTTAATTCATTGGGGTAATTGGTCTTATTACTGTAAATTGGTATGTGCTAACGGTCGTTTGAAGATGACTTCCAAGTGTTTGTTGTAATGCTTAAGAATAATTTTAATTCTCCATATAAGGAATTTGATGCCTTCTAAACTAGCATATCTATCTGATGTTTTTTGGAGTTGATTTTAATGCATTAACATGATTCAAATTTGTTATTTTCTCAATTGTTAATAAAAGGGCATATTCTTAATTTACTATTTGTAGTTTTGTACGACACGTCTTAAGTTCATATGATGGCAATGCCTTGAATTGAAGTTTTCTAATTTGAGTTAAAGTTCTTTTCTATGTTTGTAACTCAGATTATTCTTGTGATTTTGAACTTTTTGGTATGTATTTCACAGTATGAGAATGATTAGGATGCATATAGTGGCAATAGGACAGAAATTGATCCAGATACAATCAAAGATTGCTTCCGGGTTGATTGGTGGTCCAAGTGATGGATTTGACATTTGTTTGAATCCCTCTAATATTAAATTTATGTATTTGCCACTATATTTGTGTTCATTGGTTAACCTTTTATACTTAAATTTAGGTATGTCTCATGGAATAAATGAATGAACATCACATATTGAAAAAGAGAAAGGAAAGTTGGATGGAATTCAAAGTCGTAATTTTTGGGGATATTTCAAATGATCTTGTTCATTATGATGATAATCAAGCATGAGCTTTCAAGGAACAAACTGATGGGTTCTCATTGTGTCAAGGAAAAGAGTTTTTACGGTGCTTATATGTGTCGATCAAGTGTGTTCAGAATATGAAGTTGCACAAGGTCATTAAGACCAAAAATATATATTGATAGAGATTGTTTTATCTATCGGTGTATCATATATATTAGTTTGCCAAACGACCATGTACTTACATTTTACCAATAATATCAATGTACCTGCATTATGGTTTTGTTTGGCTAATGACCGATGTTTATACCTGTGTACTTTTCATTGTACTATGACTTTTAATCATAAATAGTAATATACTTACTTTTTGACAAGAATTAACAAGTTGAACATATTTTTTTACATAAAAGCCCATGTACTTCATTATGAACCAGAATAGCAACGTACTAGAACTGTTAACCATAAATAGCAATGTACTTACTTATTTCGATTAAAACTAACAACTTGATCATATTTTTTACATTAAAACCCACGTACTTATTATATAACGAAATAGCAGCGTACTATGACTTTTAACCATAAATAGCAGTGTACATACACTTTTTTGACAAAAAATAACAAGTTAATCTTTATAAAGTATTTTAAGACCACAATGTACCTCGTTTTAATCAAAAATAACATCCTACTTATACTTTTAACGCATAATAGCATCTTAAGTTGGTATTCCTATTAATTTCACTTGTTTTTGCTCTGTTTTGATTATCATTCTGTTTACTAATCTCTTTCCCAAGAATATATTAGCCACAATTTGCAGTGATTTTTTTATTTTTTCTTTTATTTATTTATTTATTTTTTTGTGTATTCTTAAACTGTATATATATATATATATATATATATATATATATATATATATATATATATATATATATATATATATATATATATATATATATGAGGATGGTCTATTATTAATAGGGGCGTTATGCCATAAAATAAAAACTTAACCATCTCTAAAAAAAATACAATCCATCAATGTCTCAAGAATAAAGTTTCTACAGGTAGTCTAATAAGCAAAATCAAATGACAGACACAAATAAAAGTAAGCAAAATCCATCAATGTAACATCATTCTTTGTCTTGTAAAGCGTCCTCCGCCTGATACAAATAGAAGTAAGCATTAGAAAAATACATGACCCATTACAATTATTAAAAAAATATAAATAATACCTTTTTGATAGGACACCCATTGACATAATGACCCAATCCCTTACGGTGAGAACAAGTTCTCTTCTTCTTCACCACTTCTAGTGAAGACTTAATTCTATTTGCATTTTTAGGACGACCTTTGGTATTTGTTGGAAGAAGAGGATCCCTTATAGATATTTGAGGCATCATGTCTACTTGAGAAATTCCCGTGAAAAATTCTTGAGGTGCATTCTGATGGCCTTTTGGCTTTTTACGAATCACTTGATCTTCTATAAACGTTACCAATAAAGTATTAAGTTTTTTTATCTCTGAAGGGGAGTCTCTTGCTAGTTCAATTTCTTTAGTATAGTTTTCACGCACACACCATAAGGTTAATTCACTAACTCCAGTTTTGTTATTCATTTCTTCCAATCCAATATTGCTACTACCTACCTTGAACCTAGCATCGAGTGTCCATCTCGGTAAAATATAATGATCAGGAAGGGTTTTGACATGTCTCTTCTTGAGCACATATAGCCTATGCTTGCATAATATTCCATACGTTTCAAACTTAGCACACGAGCACTTGACATTTACTTGATTCACGAACCGGAAGCTAACAAATCTCTAATGTGCTTTATCAACTTTCACTTGCCCAACTCGATATCTAATTTCTTCTGTAGTTTTGCTTAATGTCTCATGAGTTAAATTTCCCATAGCTTCTATCCATTCTTTTTTAAAAACCTCAAATATCTTTCTAGTATAGCATTGACCCGCCTTTTCTTCTATTGGATGAACAGATGAAAGAACTATTTTTGTGTTCATGGTCTTGAAGTCTTCGTCTTCTTCAGTGGCTCTTCGAGATTCAACTGCCTTATCATATCATATTACAAATTCATTCAACATGGTCATGGAATTAACAAACTCATCAAAAAAAGAATGAATGCTCTCACTTCGTCCACTTGTTGTCATGCCAGCAAAGAATACATCCTTCAAGAAGGCTTTAGCCCAATGTTTTCGTTGGTAATACATCTCTGTTATCCAACTATTACTTTCTAAGCTATACTTATCACATATATCCTCCCACTTGGTTTCAAATTCTTCTATGGTATCACTCTTTACCTATTCTCTATAAGATTCGTTAAAATCACTATAACGGGCTACAAGAGGCCAGAGATGTTCTAGCTCATGCTTTTTAATGTGCCATGCACAAAAGCGATGCCGAGTGTTTGGAAACACTTTGCTAACTGCATTACCCATATCTTTATCTTGGTCCGTTATTATTGCCAATGGATACTTATTAAACATACACTTCAAGAAATGCTTGAATAACCAATTAAAAGTTTCTTCATTTTCATTTTCTAGCAATGCACCACCAAAGAGTATGGATTGGCCATGATGGTTCACCCCGATAAAATGAGAAAATGGCATCTTAAATTTGTTTGTCATGTATGTCACATCAAACACGACAACGTCCCCAAAATTTAGTATATGCATCCCTTGATCTTCCGTTGGCCCAAAAAATATTTCTAGTAGTCCCATCTTCATAAAAATCCACGGCAAAATACTGGTTGATATCAACCAATGATTTATCTTGAAAATGTTTGATAAACCCATAAAACTCCTTACCTTTGTTTTTCCTTCGTTTCTCGGATAATATGTCAACACATTGCTTGGAAGTAACATCAACTTCATTTGAAGATTTCATTGCATTGGCAGCCTTTTTAATTTGAGAAGGCTTCAACCCTGACTGACCAAGCTCCACCATAAGAGATTTGCATGCCACTGACCGATGAAACGTTCCATGGAACGATGTTTCAGAACTTTCGTTGGTGTAACGTTCAACTCATGATTGTGTGTATCATTAAAAATATCCACAACCCATTTTCCGTCTTTCCTTTTTGAAATCCGAAACATCGCTTGGCATCCGGTTCGTAAATCTCTACGACGTTTCTTTGCATTCCTATCACCCTTCACTTATTTAAAACATTGTTTGTTGCATACATACATCTTACGATAAACCTCCTTTGTTGTCTTATTCTTATAATCCAAATGAATATGTTTGCCAAATCCATGTAAAAAGGCATACCGGTTATAAAATGAATACACTTTATGACGGGTATTGAAAACCTTTCCCATGATATTTGCATCATTAACTTCAGATTCATCATATTCAAGACCAATATCGACATCATTTATGTCAATATCTTCAATGTTATGTGTCTCGGAAGGCTCATCTGTTGCTTGATTTTCCAGATTAATAATGCTAGGTATGTCATGTATCAAGAAAAAATCCATGTATTTGAATATGTTATTCAATATGTACACTCTGTACAAACATAATGGTTTAGCAACTGTACTTATTCAACATGTACACTCACGGAAGGCTCACCTTGCAACATAAACGCAATCAAGTTGTTTATAGGGAGTAAAGGCAGATTTCATAATTCTTTTTGTAAACGAAAGTTGTGATCTTTCAATTCATTGGAGATAAATTGAATATATAATAAAGGAATAAAGGAGAAAGTACTAGAATTTACACATGTTTTAGAGGATAAATCTCATGAAGAAATATACAATGTTTCAATCGTTGATAAGGAACTTGATTATAACATGATTACATGAAAATAAATGTGTTGTCGAGCATGTGTATAGAAAGAGTAGGTATTAAAAACAGGCTTTTATTTAATTTTTACCTGTGACATTGTCACGAACAGAGCATACAAAATCAAAAAATATTTCTTAAGAACAGCAACACCCAAGTTGTAATCGTGTTTATATTCTAAAGTCTATATCAAGAACAAAAAAAATAAAATAATCAATTTACAAAGATTAAAACTCCAAATTAAATAGAGGAGGATGTGATATACTCATATTCAATACCCCTGTGATCACAAAAAAAATGGAACTCGAATAACATAATAGATAGGAATTAGGGGTTACGACTAAACCATGAGGTCGTCCTTTTTTTCCTAAAAAACGATGTTGTTTAGGTTTTAGTCGATTTCTCACAGAGGCTCCGTCGATGTTGGGAGTCCTTATTCGATGTATGTTCTCCGTCAATGATGTAAGTCGTGAAGAAGTAGGGTCGAAGGCATGTTGTTTGCGTAATATAAAATAGTTGAGTCAATCAAATGGAAACGAAAATGGTTTTAATTTTTAGCCCAAAAACGACGTAGTTTTTGAAAGGTTCTATACCTATATTAGATACCTAACCACCACACATTCCTTTTTCCTTGTATATATATATATATATATATATATATATATATATATATATATATATATATATATATATATATATATATATATATATATAGGTTCTATGGAAAACAAAAACCCTAAAAATCATAAAAATGCATAAAAAATACTTAGAGAACACAAAACTTTTTTTTGAATTTTTTTATAAAAAAAACGCAGCTTTTACTACAAATTCGCTGAAATTTTTTTTGAAAACAAACCAATTTTAAAAAAAAAATTGATTTTTTATTTTTTTTTCAGCGATTTTATTAAAAAAGCTGCGATTTTTTCAATAAAAAATTCAAAAAAAAGTTTTGTGATCTCTATGTATTTTTTTTATGCATTTTTATGATCTTTAGGGTTTTTTTGTTTTCCAAATAACCTTCCCTATATATATATATATATATATATATATATATATATATATATATATATATATATATATATATATATATATATAGACACATATAGGTATAGGTTCTATGAAAAACAAAAAAAACCCTAAAAATCATAAAAATGCATAAAAAAAACACTTAGAGATCACAAAACTTTTTTTGAATTTTTTTTATGAAAAAATCGCAGCTTTTACTATAAATTCGCTGAAAATTTTTTGAAAAAAACCAATTTAATATATTATATATATATATATATATATATATATATATATATATATATATTTCATTTTTTTCAACGATTTTATTAAAAAAGCTGCGATTTTTTCATAAAAAAATTCAAAAAAAAGTGTTGTGATCTCTATGTATTTTTTTTATGCATTTTTATGATTTTTAGGGTTTTTTTGTTTTCCAAATAATCATTTTTAGAAGTTACAAAAGTATACATAGATAAAAGGCAAAATGCTATGAAAACAATAGTTACTTCAAAGTATATATATTATGTCACATTTTCTTGATTCAACGCACTTAATGTCTTATAAGTTCTATTTAGGCAGGTACAACCAAAATTCAAAAATTCAAAATCAACTAAAAATAACTGATAATAAAAGTCTAAGATATCATGTATTTGACAAAAAAAAAACAAAAATAAAGAAAATTAAAAACACTAAATTTGGAGCTCTAAATGAAGGAATTAATTAGGGCTCCGTAAGTTCGTAGAAAGCTAGGCATGTCTAAAGTTGGACTGCTTTCCCTTGCATTTTCTATACTCCCACTCGGTTATAAAATATTCTACGGTTGCTTGCTAAAAAAAATTGCAGGTTTTCTAGCCAACACATCTCAGTCTGTGTCCCTGTTTGAGAAAATTGCAACTTGTAATAACCCAACGCATCTTCTACATCCGTGTTTCCATCATCATACACAAAACTCACCCCACACTCCTTTATAAGTTCATCATACTCCTCTGTAACAGTAATAGTAACATGGTCACCAGCCTCCATGTCATTCGTCCCAAACATCCAATGACTTAACACCACCATAGACTTTCGAGTTGCACTGAAAATGTCCATGTCACATTCGTATATCCTCGTGCAGTTCTTTGTTATATTACTAATTGTGATCCCTGGCAATGGAGGGATCTGATCATCAACATATGGTAACTGCAACCTCTCACCGGGAGGTTTCATTGTGTGCAGAGAGCAGAAGTTGAGTCCTCTAAGGTTGTTTGGAGATGAAGGGATGGTAAATGATATTGATGGCCTTGTGCTTCTATGCCTAAACCAATTCGGCATATCTTCACTTTCATAAATTGTGCTGAATATTCCAAATTGATAAAACATCTGCCAAATGCAACCATCTTAATTAATCACCATTAACAATTATATTATACATATTCACATAAAGAAAGACAGTTGACTAGACCAAACCTGGATTCCAGATTCCCAAGAATTAGGTCCCACACGCCTGTTATGAAAGTCTAAATTAGTCCAATCCAAGCTACGCAATACCTTTTCCTCAACATCCACCATCGGTTGGAATTTGACCATGCCTTCAACTTCGTATGACCAACGTGTGGAAGCTAGACTGTTAAATCCTAACGAGCTAAGGGACATTTCTGGATCAAATACAAGTTTTTCTATAGAAGTCGCATGATTAGACTGGAGCATCAACGCCGTTAGTGTGCGTGGAGGATACTCAACTGATTTTAATTTTCTACAGTTTTGCATACTGAGTTTCTCAAGCCTGGGAAGGGTTCTCACACAACTAGGCATGGAATCTATAGGATTGTCATCTAAGGATAATTGTTTTAACATGGATAGGCAACTAAAGTCCATGCGAAAGGATTCGGTTGACAAATTATTATTTGCAAGTGACAACCTTACTAAAAAGCTCGGTAAAGAAATCGCAAAGGACTTCAAATCACATGGTATACCCACAAAGGTTGAGGAAGAGAGTCTTGTGTTTATGTCAATTTCGTTAGCCTTGCATATTTCCAGTGAATCCATATCCCTAGTCTCAAATTGAGAATCACCAAGATTGCAACCATCTAGCAACATTGTTTTAACATTCTTTAACATGCCTATGTTTCTTGGAAGTTTTTCAAGCTTCTTGCAGTAGCTCAGATCAATGAAGACAAGTTCAACACATTGCTCAATTGATTCACAAACCTCAAGCAAACTAATGCAATCTATAACTATTAACCTCTCAAGTGCAGGAAGTTGATCAAATTCACCAAGACTACGAAGTTGTTTACAGAAACTTAAATTAAGAATCTTCAATGATCCAAGAAACGTTTTGCCTTTAAACCATGATCCATCTAACTGAAGAAATGTAAATAAGTTAGATTAGTATTGGAAATTTCATCAACTCAACATGGATGAATAATATATGAAGATAAGTAACCTTTTGCCTCTTCTCAAGTCGTTTTGGATTAATATAACCGACAAATGACTCAATATTGCTATACGACATGTCAAGAGAAACAAGATTCTCCATAGGTAAGTCTAAAGGTATAGACTGTAAATGGAATCCATGCATACACAACCATCTTAATTCCTCTGGAAAGTTCTCATAAGACCCATTCATGTGCACATAATTGAGTTGTAGTAGCATCAGACTGTCCATATTACTCAATGCATCTGTTTTCAGCTCAAATGATGCACCTAACTTCTCTTTCTCAAGCATGCGCATGTCAAGGGCAAGACCTAGAAGATTTTCCTTACCCTAAGAAGAAACACAATATGATAGATATAATTAGACCATAAAATGTTGTGGACATGTACACTACTAACAAGTATGTGTGGCCTCTTACCTTTTTTCGTTTTAACACTCTGAATGACTCCTCGTGACACCATACTCGACTCCACTCCCATGGCTTATTAACTGATTCTTGACGTACTGCGAATCTTCCCATCTCTTGGACTAATTGATGCATCTCCAGTTCATTATTTGTTCCTATACTAAGAAGGAATCTGTCAATGAGATTCGTAATCCCAGATCTTGTGTTTACATCACATGCTTCTAATATTGTTTTGGTAACATCTCTATCTATTCCAACAAAAAAACAAGCAATATGCTTAAACAACTCCTTTATCATTTTCGGATGGCAAAGAGTCAAAGCTCATTCTCAAGACATTATTTATATGGGAACCAATTTCTTTCTTTAGCCCTTCTATGCACCCTTCCCAGTATGCCACATCACGATTATGCAGAGACTTGCCCAAAACTTTAAGAGCCAATGGATGTCCTTGACAATACTTAACAAGCTTATCTGACACCTCTTCGTAACCTGGCTTGGGATGGTTGCACATGAATGCATGGAAACATAGAAGTTGTCGTGATTCAGCCTTATGTAACCCATGAAGAAAGTGTTTTGCATTCTTGGGTTTAACGTTTCTTTTAAATAGTGCACAACTCTCTATCAACCATCTGTTTTTTGTTGTTATTATAACTTTGCTTCCATGATGAAAACTTTTGCTTCCAAGTAATGCATCCAACTGGTCAATACTATCAATATCATCAAGAACTATAAAAACCTTTTTACGGGTTACTGCATTCTCTATCTTTGAGGTATATACCGAAACATCATGAACTTGAATTGAACTTGTTTTTGAAATGTCACCGCACAATTGTTTTTGTATATCAAGCAGCCCATTATACTTTCCATCACATCTCCTACCAATATCTTCAATATAGCTGCTTGTGTGGAACTCATGACAATGTAACCCATAGACATATTTGGTTAAAGATGTCTTGCCGATCCCTCCCATACCCAAAATTGTGAGTATGTCTGTTGTATTTGAGGACCCATCTTTCAACCATGAAATGATGAAGTTAATGGAATAGTCCATCCCAATAAGTAGCGGACGAGCAATCCTTAAATGCACATCTAATCTAAGATAGATGTCATTCACAATTTCTTCAATAAACTCCGCCTCAAACCTGAAACTTGATTTAACAAAGAACATCAAAACACAATCCACAAAACTAACAAACCAGATTTGGTGATTGAACTTATCCAATAATCAGATTCAAAATTATATCATGCCTATTATTTTTAATGAAGTGCTTCACATCAAAACTATATTGTATTTGCACTCCTGACCATATAAATATCTAACGTGTAAGGTCATAAATATTGAAGTATGATACAATCTAAGGTACAAATTTAAGGGAATAATTCACTAATGGGCCACCTAACTTCATAATCACTATGTTTCTACAAAAACATCAAATTTAACAATCAATATGGTTTTGCATGCGTCCAGAAAAAATGCAGCTATAAGTTATGATTTACTGATTATTGGTAAGAGAACTTATTTATCGCAAAAGACGATATGATTTGAATTGAAGGTAGTGTTGTATAACTAATAAAACACACATAGCAAACCATTAAAAGTTAGGTTTTTAATAAAAAGCATATAAAGATAATTGAAATAATTTATCTAAATTAATATATGAAAAAAAATACTCAATGCACAACGAACGTGTGAAATTTATCAGAATGGTTAACCTATTTATATGGATTGATTTACGAGATCACATAATAGGAAACTTATATTCAAATTTGTACATCTTCTTTATCCGAATACATGAAACATGTGCCTATTTGCTTATACCCAGTAAACCTATTAAAATGCATAGGGTGAAGTGATATTGGCATTTCGTGCTTTAATCAAACAAATATTAAGACGTATGGAAATATGGCTAACAAAGTGGTTACCTTCCATTTATGTCCTTTCCTTTCAAATTAGCAACTTCTATAAGCGCTTTATTCCATCGGTCCATCTTTTGAGCCCATTGACTTCTTTTATTTGCGTTTGTCTCTTTATCCATTTTCTGTTTATGCTTAGCCATTGCATCCCCAAAACTACTTTCTTGCTTCCTGACATGGGTGGGTTCAACCTGATAAAAGATCGGAATAACAATATGGTTGGATGTCATACGCTGCTCAAGGATCAACACCAATTCATCGAGGCACCATGTTGAAGTTGCGTAATTCGCGGACAACACGATAATAGAAGCCCGAGATGCCTTAATTGCACTCTCCAGTTCCGGTTTCAGATCTTCACCTGTTTCAATCTCTTCATCATCCAAGAAGGTACTGATATTTGCCTCTATAAGTGCGTCGTAAAGGTAATTGGTGAAACTAAGACGAGTGTCAAGACCTCTAAAACTTAAGAATACGTCATATCTATGACCATCAATTGATGAAGTGTGGCTATGAGTTGGTGAAGAAGATGAAGATCCTTCTGAGAGTTTAGGGTTTACGAGTTCAGAGAGAACAACCATTATCAGTAAGCTCTTAAAATACTCCACACATTGTCGGTTATGAAAGTTGGGTTTCACCGGCTTTCCTCACTTGTTCTTCAATGTCAGGATCCCGTACATAATGCCTCTACATAAATCCAAAGTATTAATATCAACTCTAACTGTATTAATATGCCATATTTAATCCCCAAACTTTGAGTTTTGAATTGATTTTGGAGCTACACAAAGCATAGATATGTATTTGTGTGTGTTAATCCTAGATTTGATTTTTGTATTCAAAGGTCATTCCATACCTTCAAAAAGTGCTAACCTCTGTTGTTTTGTGTGCAAGAGGCGTATGAGGATTAAGACTGCATCTAAACACTGAAAAAGAAAGACAACAGAAGCTGCGAGTTCCTGATGTGTTTGAAACACAAAGAGTAGCTGATGTGTTTTCTTATATCAAGAAGAAACAGGCTAATAAAATCGTTGCAACAGCAGCCTTGTTGCAGTAGCAATTATGTGAAAAAATAAAATGAATCCTTTAACCAACATATATAGAGCTAAGCATTGATATAGAATAACCATTACATTGCCATGGGAGTTATTTAAAAAGCCGTACTTACTCACTTAATTAAATTGGTTAACATTTTTTTTCCTGCTAAGTTTGGTGCAAGAAAATATTGAAGCAATTTATTCTATATTTCTATTAACCAAAAATGTCTCTATATCTTGATTTGATTAACCCACATAAAATCCCTACTATTGTCTAAAAGTCAAATAATTAAACCTCAAACAAATTAATCAACACCAAATGCCATTCTCAAAGCAAATACAAGATCCACTATTACCTCCCATGTAAGGAATTGCAAAACATACAGGCAATCTCAAGCTTTCACTAAATATCGAAAAACAATTAAAATATCTAAATACACAAAAAATGAAAGAATAGGTTTCTTCACATGGTCTCCAGAATTAGCATGAACAAATCACATGATCTAATATATATATCAGCATAGATCTAAAGACT